CCGTAAAATCAAAAAAAAAACGAACAGCTGATACTAATAAACTTTGAAAGGAACGTTGGAGTTCTCAACTGTAGTCTTAGAATAACAAAAAAAAAAGTTTTTTACACTTTTTATAGATTACCCATTTGACAGTACATTCCAGTTATCGCATTGGATCCCGACAGAGGGTCTTTAGCATACATTTTAGTCCAGGTCTACGCTCGTATAAACAAAATATCTAGCTCATTGTACCTACATATCTATCCACAGGTTAGCGTTGTTGACTACGCTGTATTTGGTTAATATTCCTACCGTTTAACATTAATTAGCCAATTTATATTCAAGTTGCAGTGAAGAGTGGAGCTATATTATTTATCGCGTGAATTAAGGCCGGCTATGCTGTTATATTGTGTTACATTATTTGTTAATAGCTCGTTTGGGGCCATTATTATTTACCCAAAGTATATTGAGCCGCGCAGACTATAGCTTGTCCCACCGAATTCTTAATTATTTGCGTGTCAAGTTCAAAACCGGGAGATAAAGTAGTAAAAGTTATTTTAAAAGTAGTATGGATGTATACACAATACATATCAATACGATATTTTTTACAATTTCTTGTTTGTTTGTCTGTCTGTTTGTCTGGAACGAATGGACTGATTTTGACAGGACTTTCACAGGCAGATAGCTCATGTAATAAGGAGTAACTGGGGCTAATTTTTTTTAGAAATTTTATTTATTTTAATTTCCACTCGGGCAAAGTCGCGCGCAAAGCTAGTCAATCATAAGTTTATGTCTACTTTCGCGCTTATAAAAACTATTTATAGAAATTGCTACTTTTTACATTTAAGCCCAATTCCGTTTCGATGGGTATATCTACTTACAAGAATGTTTATATATTCGACCACTTAACTACACGCCACGTGCTATCCCCCGTGCCATGAAATGTTACTTGGTGCAAGAAAATTAAGTCAACGTAACATTTCACTATCCACCGACAGGCGTCGGTCAACTGACTCGAATTAAATTATTTCGATACATTGAAAAGCTATCGTTTTTTTTTTACCTACACCGTACCGTTTGTTTTTAAATAATAATAATAAATAAGTATTTCGTCACATATTTTTACACAATATTATCTAGTTCCAAGCTAAGCAAATCTTGTGTATGGATACACTAGCTACTGACTAATAAACATATTTAAACATACTTTTTGTAAATAAATACATATTATAGATATGTAAAATCACAGACACTAGAAACACACTATGTTCATCACACAATATTTTTCCAGTAGTGGAGATCGAAAACACACCTTCTGGCGAAAGAGACAGCGTCACAATCAATTACGTCAATTGCGTCGTCGAAAAAAAGCGGATAGAACTGCTTTACCCGCTTATATTTAGCATTAACTGAATTTATCCAATAGGGTCAGGGACGTGAAAAATAACAGTAAAACACCATGCCGTTAGTTGGAGCCAGGCGTAGTCGTCGTTGAGTAACAGAATATTTTTTTTGGCTGGATTAACCAATGTTGACCTTGGGAGACCAAGAAGGAGAAGTCCACCGGGCCTGAGGTGGCCGGGCGCTGAGGACTCTGAAGGCTCCCATGAGCCATAACTCAGGCGCTATTATTATTAGTACCGGCTTGGGTGGCCGCCAAGCTCTTAGAACGCTTTGGCGGACGCTCCATGGAGTAACTAGGCTCAAGGGCCATCGAGAGGGCACCTCGGCTTGGGCTGTTACTCAATACCCGTTTAGCATTCCGATTCGCGGGTGCTCGGTCAGTTACTGTGGTCTGTCTAGGAGGATTGTAAAGCTATAGTTACTACCAATTCGGAAAGCGTTCGCGCTGGTAGAAGGGCGCACCCGAGGGTCGCAGATGTGTTGGCAACCTCTTGAAAATTGAGCTCCGGCTACCTTACTCACCAGACGAAACGCGAAAGTAATACTCACTCCAACTTTACGCCTGGAATCTGTGAGGTCGTGGTACTTACGCGGACGAGCCTGCTCATTCGTGCAACAGCCGAGGCTGCTGTGTGGCCCTCTCCTAAGTTGCTTTATCCCGTCGATGGCAATGGTCGTCTCATCGTTAGGGACATCAAGATCGTGTCTTGGTCTAAGCAATTTGCGACGGAACTTACCCAGCGGCAGTGGTCTGTAGGTGACGGCACCTGTGACTGACGGATTGGAACCAAATATTTGCGATAGGTTCATTTCAAAGTACAGTCGACTTACACATGTAGGTAACTTCTAGCTTCTCGGTAAGTATTTTGATGCCGTGAGTACCCTTCGTCTCTTTTGAAAGTTTATGTTTCCCGCACCGCCGGATGTGAACATCGATTTTGATTAAAATTAATCCAATTAGACGTCGTTGCTCACGGTGACGCATATGACATAATAGAGCGGTCAAATGTTGAGGCATAGCAAAAGCAACACTCAATGCACGTAACAAATGATGGTTAAATCACTTTTTGGCGCCGCCGTCCGTCAAACGCGACGGTTGAATGCACCAAGAATTTTTATAACGCGCGGGACATCGTTTTTTTTTTTCACATTGTATCATCAATGCACGCCCGGCGTTTTAATTGCTGCCGGCGAGATGAAATCGCTATATATTTTTAATAAAGGCCCGTATAGTTTTAAATGTTCATATGTAATTGTGGCGAGTTAAAAGTCGTCGGAAAGATGACGACACGACGGCGTGACGTAATTGACGCAGATATTTATAACGTGCGACGCGGCGGTTTTTTTTGTTGTCGCTATTTTATTTATTTTATATGGAGATGGACGATGCATTCGGAAAATTCTTTTTAGTAGCCCATTCAGAACCTGACAATAATCCCCTTTCGAAAAGTGCCTAAATTGTGCGAGTTCAAAATCTGCTTTTGTTTCATACAAGACACTTGTGTTGTGGATCCGCTCATTCTAAAGTTGAAACAGTAAATTTTATCGACAAGTTAGAAATAGACATGAAACACAAACGAACTGTCTGGTTGTGTATATGTAAGTCCTTTTAAGTTAAAGCTCTTAAAAGTGGAGTGAAAGAAAAACTACGCTTTATCGTACGCCCAGTAGTTGTACTTTAAAGGTACACATAGAATGAAATGATGTTTTTATAACTGTTTCGATCAAAGAAACATGAACCACCCACCTTTTTATATTCGCTTCGCCAGTGAGCATCATGTGAATGGCTGATTTCTGCGTGACTCAGTACGATTTACGGGGGCGTCTTAATGTTTAGGGCAACTCGCTGTATTTTCCGCCACTTTCCAGTTTCATTTTGCGTTTTTCATTCCGCTCCAGATACGAGTGATATTGAAAAGAAATTATAAACTATAAATCTATACTAATATAATAACGCTCAAGAGTTTGTTTGTTTGTACGCGTTAATCGCTTCTTTTAGATCTTTTTGCACTCGATACCCCAATTGTTGAGGAAGGTTATAGGGTATTTAACATCACGCTACAACCTACGGGCGCGAGGCAGAAATTTTTCCTAAAGAATAAATACTAAGGGCTCTTCAGGCTTCATCGCTCTCTTGTATGTCTTTGATGACAAAACGGATGAGTAGAAGTCTCACGTAGGTGAACCGCGTAATCTCCGTAAGAGGGGAAGCTTTGCTCTAAGTTTTAAACGGTGGCAAACGACCTGGTGGTTCACCTGATGTTAAATGGTAACATTTGCAACATCTGTACGGTCGCAGTTGTGTTTTTAATAAAGTAGCCCCCGGCCACTTCACTCACCAGACGAAACGCAGAAGTGTAACACTTCCACTGCACGCCGGCCACCCGTGAAACAGCGAACACCGTTGCTGGCCCTACCACAGCGTGGCAAGTCATCGGAAATTCATAAGTTTAAATAAAATAAAAACAAACTGTGACAAAATCGAAAAAACCGTTTTGGTATAATCAAATCGTGCTCCTCAGCCTGTTTGAGTCCACTGTAGAGCATGGGCCTCGCCCACATCCACAGCCACTTGCATACATTGAATCCTTCATTTTGCACAGATAATATAACCAGATACAAACCATATTCTATATTACTTACCGTTCCCAATTAATGGGTTAGTCCATTGTTGCTTGATATTGTAAAATTCGTTTAAAAATGAATATGCGTAAAAATCTCATTCAAACAGGCGGAGGATTTTACGGGAAAGTTGAGAATACGCTTTCATTGGTATTAAGTTTATGATTCAAAAATTGATGGGGATAATTAAAAATCGCCCCGGGTGAAACGCAGCCCTGGTGTTTTATTTCGAAGCAGTATACGTAATAATTTCGTTTTTAAAATTAAATTTCACAGGATCAATGATATGAGTAGGAACTCTCGCAACCACGTCTTATTATTTCATCACATTCAACGTTACTCGTCTATATTATATGAAAAATATTTTTTGATTTTTATACACTAATTTCTTCGGTTTGTTTCAATTTTCATCTTACACAGAATGACGTCAATGAAAGTTTGGGATATTTATTATGATTATGAATGTAAAAAATTGTATATGTTTCACGACTAAAAATACGCAACTTTGCTACTCTTCAATCATTGTCTCCGTCCCGAAACCTACGCCATTCTTCGCTGAATTCACCGAAGGTGAGTTTGGGGTCTGGTCACGACCGCAAAGGGGTTTTGAAGTTTGCTAAAAACTGAGCAAATACAGAGATCAAAAGTATTTTTTGCGGTGTCGATGTTGGTGCCGTTTCCGTGTGTGCGTGCGCGCGATACGTCAGAGGGCACGAGCGTGGCGGGGCCGGTCGCGCGTGTGTGCGTGCGCCGCGCAACAATGAGCCGCGCTCACGCAGCGTGCAGCGCCATATAAATAAGTTGGTTTCTTCAATCAATTCAGAATAAATACTCGCATGCAACTGGGCCGGTGTCTCCGGGCGCGAGTTTTTCGCCGCGGCTCTCCCAATGAATTATTGTAATCACATTACCACGGGTCCGTTTTTGCGTTCGGGTTGCGTGACCGCCGCGCACGTGTGTCCGGCGAGCGTCTGTCGTGAAAACGCCACGTTACAATGCAGGCATTGAGCGGTTATATTGACGCTTCGGATTACTCCACCGCCGGTGGCCATTTCCCCGTGAACCGATGGCCCCCGACTTTGCAGCCCGATTTTTGGCGTGCATCGGGATACCGCCTAATCGGCCTACACGCGGAGGATCGCCCCCACTCGAAGGGAACTAACCGCGAATCATCCTCGACACGGAAATATTTGCCGCGCGAAAATAAAGTCAATTAACGAAAAGTTCGTAGTGTACTCAAATGATAACAACCAAATGATGATGATGCTTCTACCTACTCACACATTGTTCATATACGTCTATGAAAAATCGTGCGGTAATCCCGTCGGCACAAATCGACTTACTGCCTTACAACAAACGAACGTGGCGACGTCCACTCAAACGACACACGGAAACTTGTTCGTTAACAATAAGTGTAATTGTGTGAGGTTCAACTTCGCCACGTACCCGGAACCTCTTTGCATAGTTATGAGCGGTTTTTTGCGTTACCTACAGTTAACCATTTCACCGACCCGTACCGTTGTTTCTACGAATACAAACACATGTTCCCATAGGCGTCTACTCAAAATTGGAGCATTACAACTGTAATAAAATATTCACTGGCTTCTTTCATATCGGAAATTGTAGCAATAAGTGTTATGCTTCTATATACCGGTGACTATATGACCTCAAAAGATAACAGATGTCTAATGGTCAAGGACAAATTGAGGGACACGTTGACGTGATTTGGAATATTATAGAAAATCTAAGTTAACAATGCAATGAAAATAAAACGTTCTCATCTTGTTCTAAACATTTTTCTGCGTTTCTCAGCACACAGTATTAAGATATATTTGACAGATATTGTTCCAAGTTACAAATAAAAATTCCATAAATATCACGATCCAAAAGAACGATATCAAAGAGATATATATGAAGGATGTCTGTGTTTAAAAAATATATATATATTAGAACAGTTTACAAATGCGCCCCCGCAGTTCGCACGACAATCTATGTAAAATTGATTATGGTTCTTGTCGTCTGTGTGTACTCATTAACCCGGTACGGTGTGAATTCCACGTTGTCCAATAGCTCTGTCCTTTTCCATCGCACCAATCCACCCCGCGTCCGTCCTCTTTCCACGCTTCCATGGTGCCGTGGCCACATCGCCAACAGATATGGAGGTCGCGCATCATTGCAGCTGCATCTATCTTTACGAAGTGTGCGCTTTTTCAACCGTAATAAGCGTATTCCCAGCTCGCTGGTTTCCACTGCAAATAGACTACCCTCGTAGAATAATAATTATATCGCTTGTTAAATAATTAGCAGGTTGATTGGAAAGCGGCCGCGGATTTTCTTTGTGTATCCATTTTTAAAACCATGTCTTTTGCTGGTAATATTGATTAAGAAGTCTGTAGAAAAGAATATTTATTGCATTGTAAAAATTAAAGTAACAGTCTGTACATGTCCTCCTCCTCTGTATCTCTTTGGTATTAAGCCAAAATCCACCACTCGACCCCACTGCGGATTGGCCGATTTCGAAAATTTGCAGGTTCCCCATGATGTTTTCTTCATCTATCTGTGGAAGTCAGTACCTAAAATTAACTATTTGATTGGTGCCGGCACCGGGGATCGAACTCAGGTTGCTCGAGTATATTGAATTAAAAGCGTGCGCTCGGACATTAAGCTATCACGGCTCTAGCCCACAATAGTAACAAGATTAAACTTAAGTTTTTTAACGACTCGTTCATCGCTGAACGGCTTAAAATCCAATAAAGACAATATGCGCTTATTCGGCATGAGCAATTACTAACTCTCTTTGTAATCTCTCAGTGGTAACAGTTGCACAAGGAATGGAAGAAATCCGACTTACTGATATTTGTCGGTTACGCCTTGCACTCCTGCCAACGTCGGCCGATGCGGCCCGCACTTACCGTCCCGTTTATGTCAATGTAGTCGTCGATTATGCGATAAAGCAAGCGACCTTATCCATCATGAAGGTCGATTCCATTTGTTGTCGCTTGTTTGAACCTATACGGTTTGACGTTTTCATTGAGCGGTCACGCAAGATCCCGTTCTCGCTAATTCGAAGGAGGATTACCCAAATAACCCGGTCTTGAATAACGGTACGATTGCAATTTATTCTTAATAGTCCATTTAACTCTCGGGTTTAGATAATAGAAGTATGCCGCAGCGTTCTAGTGTAACGATTGTGCCCCGCAATTTCTTTGTAAACCTCATATGGTATCAATGCATGAATCTGAAACACTTTTTACCCAGCTTCTTTGTTAATGGAACAGTCGTAATTTCTTATCGATTGCTGTATTTAAATTATCTCTATTGAATTAATATTAATGGTGTGTATTTCTTTAAATCATGAATATCATCTATGAATACTAACTGATAATGTTTTTAAAATAATGTTTTCAATAAATATGCGCTGCCAGTGATCCAACATATGTAGTCCAACTGCTGGCCGTATGGGGGAAAAATCGCTCAATGGGCTATGGGGCGGGCTTATCTCGGTATTTCTCCGCGAGTTCACAGTGAAGATATCCTAAGTAGAACAAGGGTAACCGACATACGAGTAGCTCAGAAGACTGGTGAGCTGAAGACTCCAATAGGGAAGAAATATTCTCGAGTTAAATATTCCTTTTTATGGCCCACTACAAGGCAAAAACCTCCTCAGTGCAAGGGGTATTTTTAGAAGGAAATAAAAAATTATATGAAGTTGATGGATGCAGGTGGCTCAGGATCGTGCTTCCTGTCAGACTGCAGGCGTGACTTTGTTCAGCAGTGAACCAGAATGATGATGATCGTGATGATGAATACTGAACTTTTTACGGTAGTTTCTCCAAATATTAAAAAAAAATTGCCAAGTTTGAATTTTTTCATTTATTTTTAGAAAATAGGAAAGATCATTGATTTTATTAAAAGAATAATTGGCCAGTGGGCCAAACTACATAGAAGTTCAACTATAATTCTAACTAACCAAAACAATTGTTATTAATTCGGTTAGAGCTTCCGCACTCTAACGACGGCTGACGAGAAATTCCCCGCACACGGCGAGGGCTGCTCGACTATCCTCTTATCTTTTAACATTATTCTTGCTTATATCCTTACTATTATTATAAGGGCGAAAGTTTGTATGTATGGATGGATGTTTGTTACTCTTTCACGCAAATACTACTGAATGGATTTTAATGATACCTTACAATAATTTAGCTTATACATCAGAATAAGAGATAGGCTATAATTTATAAACATATTTTATGTAAATCTGTCTTTCTGTCTGAATGTTACGCCTTCAGCCTATACTATGCAGACGTAGTCGCGGGCACTAGCTAGTATATAATATTTTTTTCACTACCGAAAAATAAGTCTAGCAAAGTCTATTTTAATTCCGACTAGCTCTTTCGAGAGTTCCATGGTGTGAGAAGTTTTCATCGCCCGCAGAGATCTTATCGAAACATTTTTGTATTGTTTGTTAATTGCACGGAACGTTGTAGGCGACGATAGGTGTTTTTTTGTCGCATGAAGCCTCGCCGATTGTGTTCATGGAGCATGGGTATTTATTCCATTGAGTTTTGCATATACCTTTGCTGACGTAAAGTCGTAACTTATGGTGTAAACTTTACCCCCGGTACATCACTAATCCGACGCACACAGAGGCGTTGGCGTTGGTGTAACGCCAACGGTCGCACACGTTCGCAAGTCCTTCAGTCAGCTCCGCGCAAGTGTGCGTGCTGAGTGTGTTTGGGTACTATTAGGAGCTTGAAACGCCGCGGTCGATGACACGAGCTGATCATTGTAATTTACAATTTATTCAAATGCAGTGATTTGATATACGAGCTAAGAGCTCGCCAATGACCCGATCCCTCGCGTTGCTCGTGCTGAACCGCTGGCAGCGATGACGTCACCGAGGCAAACACCGCGCGATTTTTTAAAACTAACCGATTATGACGTAGCCAATCGAGCTCTAGTTTTCTTATGAGGAAATCTGATGGTTCGGAGTCATCTTTAGACCGAGAGTTTCTGACACGAGCACTTCAAACGCAGATCTTGGGTCTTTGGTAGTTTTAACCGCCGGTACACATGTAACCTATGTCTAATAGTCAAGCAGAGTGGTTAACATACTTTTTTATTGAATTGCACGTTTCCCATGGCAATAGAGATATGCGAAGACGGAAACAATGACAGAACAGGGTTCCCAGCGATACAGTTATGTCTGTAAGGCCTAGATTCCGTCGCGGTGCCTTTGTTGTATTCATAAATTTGACATTCGCGTTCGTATTAATCAACGGGGAGGATGACTTATTGAATCATCCGTCTTTAATCAACGTTCGTAGGGTTCAAGTGTGTTAAATAAATAAAAATGGTGTCATATAAACTATTTTAAACGACAATTCATCGGGATGTAATAAACTTATTAGATCCGCGAATAAATTTTATTTTCGTATTTCTTAATGCGATTTGGATGGACTGTGTGAAGAATGATATGTCTGTGAAAGGTGTCAGTATTGAGATGACGACTGATAGAGGAAAGTTAACGGGAAAGTCATGTTGTGCCGACCGCACTTAGCGTGGGAGAAGGGTGGGAAAAGAAGAAGAAGATTTTATGAATGCGATAATTAAATGTACGTAAAAACCTCACAGTGAAATGTGCTTGCTAAAGTCTCTTGAAATGGGAATTCTATTTGAATTCTATCTAAAGTCTTTATATCTATCGTTCCAGGCGTATTTATAAAAATCTCATGAACATAACGTACCCTCGATCTAATCCTTGAATCATGCCAAAGATTATTAATAAGTTACTAAGTAATTTACCAGCGCAGTGGGGCCGTGTGGTGGACTATGCCCTGATACCCTCTGTACAGAGGAGACCTTTACCTAAAAGTAGGTCATGTATAGGCTGATACTTTACTTTTACGTAATTTACCAATAACTTGCTTCGAGTGTCACTCAAAAATATTTAACATAAATAAAAAAAAACCTTTTCCTTTGATTCCCATATTGATGGTTTTTTTCAAACGGAGGTGACCTTTGTCTCTGTCGCAGAAATAAGCTCGATGTTTGGAGAAAAAATGAGCCTTTTCACCCAAACGACCACAGATGCGAAACAGTTAAAATATTACGTATATAAAAATGTAGAATTCTGCCCTGAATTTCTAATTAGTCACTTCTTCCCTGGTAGTTCATAAAATCGTTCCATGGAATGTTTATAGGGTATATTTGC